TCTAAAAGCTACCAATGAATTCTAATGTTTGATAGTCTGGAAGCCAAGCTAAGTGTCCCCACTTGTAGATTAGAATGTAACATAGTGACATACATGAAAAGAAAAACATAATTGTGTGTACCTTCCTACTTTTCCTTGCTTTCAACTTATGTATGTTAGAATTTTATGTAGTCTTAAAAATCCATATTTAGAATCTTACCTGTTTCTATAATAATAAATAAAATACCAAAGTAGTGATAGGTTTGAAGTAGCAGGAAAATTATGTTTGCTTTAGCATCAGAAAAGTGAATCGATACCGAAAAGAATTTTTGTATGTGCCAGGTCGAAGAGAGTGTGCCAGTGACAAGAATAGTGTAAGAAAATAAGTACACTGGTTGTGGTTCAAACATGTTCTGAAAGACAATCTTTAAGGAAATAAGAGAAATCAGGGGATACCGGGATATCAGTGACCCTAGACCAGCCTCTCTTTGTATATAAATATGGTGGGATAGTTAGATATAAAATCAGTGTCTTACTGGCACCAGTTGAGAAAACAAGATCTTTTCCTTCAAAATGCCCATCCTGCTTTTTTTCTACTTTAACAACTACTTGGATTTGTATGTATTTTTCTATGTGAAAAACATATGTAGTCTCCATTTTTATTCCAGTATTAATAACTGTTTATGTACTGTTTCTCCCCTTTGTATTCAGTGAAATTGAACTTGGTCAAAGATTTGCTCAAAGGAGCAGGATTACATGAGTGAAAAGCGGAATGCTCATTGCCAGAGCAGGAAAGATCACACACTGTGATGGCTCAGAACAGAAGAGGTTTGGCTTGGAGAGCAATAATGTTTATTATCCTCCTTGAATTAACGATTGGGGTCCAGCAGCTATTTTCTCAGGATAAATGGTCCACCCAGCTTCTCTGTGAACAAGTCTGGAGAGGCTTACTTTCCTTTTTCACATTTATGAACCTCTCCACACAAGCAGATTATTAACAAAGATTAATGGACTTAAACATCTGAGAGAAATCATGAATGAGCTTGTTTTGTTTTGTCTTTTTCTGGCTTCAGCTTTTGACAAGAAAAAAATTTAAATGTAGTTCAGGTAAGACTCAACTATTATAGGGCAATTTTTTTTTTTTAAATTATAGGGCAAAATCTATGTTTCTGTTAATGTATTCAAAAAATAAGCAGTGGCTTTCCCTGGGGGAAAAAGTGCTGGTTGGCAACTTAAAGAAATAGATTTTTGTCTACTTTGGATAAAACAATTAACTTCTTATGTAAAAGCAATAGTCGAAATGTGATGTCATTTTGTTCGGAATGTTGTGAACAAATAAAAAAATGTGTCAAAATTGTTATAAGCCTTTCTGTTAATCTTTCTGTGTTTCCCCACCCTCCTCATCCCTTATTTAAGTCCTTTGTATTCATGAAATAGTGCCTTTATTTAATCCTTTAATCATGTCCCTATAGAGTAAATGAGAATACACAGAAAATTTTTATTTTTGTGATTTTAACTCATCCACTAATTACCTATTTAAGATGTTACTGGGTAACAACAATAGGTTATAAGACCAGAAAAGAAGCTACCACTCCCACCCTCCATTCTTACAAAGGATAGGAGTAATTCATACTGCACTGCAGTATGCTGTACTTAGCAATGTATCTTAGGTACATTTTTATATTAATACAAAACTTCCTTATTCTGTTTATTTACAGCTGCAGAGCATTCCTCTGGGTATGTGTGTGTGTCTTATTTTGAACTAAAAAATACTACATATGTCACTGGTTGGATACAGCAAAAGCAGTACTTATTAAAGTTAGTACTGATTATAGTTTTAAATGTATGTTAAAGAAAGAATGGCTGAAAATTAAAGAAAGTAGTCATGTCAAGGAGTTTGGCCAAGGACAAAATAAACCTAAAAATAAAGATGGAAATACTAAAGGCCAGAGCCCAGATGCATGGCATCAGAAGTAAAAAGTTGTTGCTTGAAAAGACTAGTAAGACTGATAAACCTGGGCGAGATAAATTAAGAATAAGGAAGAAAGCAAACAATGATATCAAGAATAAAATATGAACCATCACCACAGATCCTGCAAATACTGAAAATAAAATGTATTAAGGATAACCTCAAAATTTGAAAATTTAGATGAAATATAAACATTTCTAGAAAAAATATACTTAGCAAAACAAAATTGTACAAGAAGAAATAGGTAAGCAAAAAGTTCTAGCACTATTCGAGTGGATTCAGCAATTAAAATTTTCCATGGAAAGACCTACAGCTCTGGGTGGCTTGCACTGGTGAGTTAACACATTTAAGAATAAAACAATGACAGTTTTCACAATCTCTTCTAAATAATGAAGTGTGGACACCCTATAATTCACGAAACTATCATAATCTTAATAAATCCAACCAGAACAGAATGAGAAAGAATAATTGTATGCCAGTGTCACTTTAGATGCAGTAATCCTGAATAAAATAGAAGCACACTGAAATCCAGCGATAAGTGTAGTAAATCAGTAATAACTACATATAGATATGCTGTTTTTTTAAAAAAATATTTATTATTTATTCATGAAAGAGAGGCAGAGACCCAGGCAGAAGGAGAAGCAGGCTCCATGCAGGGAGCCCGACGTGGGACTCGATCCCGGGTCTCCAGGATCACGCCCTGGGCTGAAGGCAGCGCTAAACCGCTGAGCCACCCAGGCTGCCCTAGATATGCTGTTTTAATGTGTGACCAATTATAGCTCAGTTGGGTTAATTCCCAGAATAAAATTAATGAAATTTACCACATTAACATTGGAAAAATCACATAATTTAAAAGTTGCAGAAAAAGCATTTGATGACAATTCAACATCCATTCATGTTAAAAACAGCAAATGAGAAATAGGGGGGGTCACCTTAATTTTATAAAACGTCTCTATAAAATAATAGCAAATATATATATTTTAAAAAAATTTATTCATGAGAGACACAGAGAAAGAGGCAGAGACACAGGCAGAGGGAGAAGGAGGCTCCCTGCAGGGAGCCGGATGTGGGACTCGATCCCGGGTCTCCAGGATCACACCCCGGGCTGAAGGCTGCGCTAAACCGCTGAGCCCCCCGGGCTGCCCATTAGCAAATGTATTTAATGGTGAAACGTCGGGATCACCACTTATATCAGTTTTTGCCACAATAACAATGTATAACAATCACACTAAAATCTTAATGGCCTACAAAAAAAGCATTTCCTCCTCACACATGGGCAGGCTAACCAGGCAGGCAGCCTTGCTGATCTCAGCTGGCCTTAAATCCAGGTCCTGGGTGGAGTTCCTTTCAGCTCCACGTGGCTTACTCCTCTGGGACCAGTGGGCGACCTGAGCCATGCTCTTTGCGCAGCAGAAGCACAAGAAGAAGCCCAGTGGCTCACAGGTATTTGAGGCCTTTGCTCGCATCATGTCCACGTTCCCTCGGTCATATAGCAAGTCTCGTGGTCAAACCCAACATCAATGGAACAAGGAAATGTGCTCTATCCGGGAGGCCTAAGGGGTGAACATTTGATGAATAATCCAAATTGTCACAGCACGTCTATTCAAAATTGTGTTAGAGGTCCTAGCCAGAGCAGTAAAACAGGTGGGAGGAAAGACAAGTTATTATTCATAAATGCTCTAAATGTGTATATAGGAAACCCAAGAGAATCAACCTGATATCGAGGGTAGATGAGGAACTTTTGACCAATTATCAAGGGTGATCATTTATCAAGGATGAGGGATTCTGGATAAGTCTATTTAGCCCGATTCTTGCTAAAATTGGGCTCTTGAAGACATGCCTAAGAAGCATTTAGTAGAAAAAGGCAGCTCAGAGGAGCCTGACTACAGTTTGATCAAGGGGAAGCACCTTGTCACTATTGCCTGTTGCCTGACAGCCAAGAAACGGTCTTTAATGTTTTCTTCCCTATTTGGGACAGAAGCGTGCTACTCTGAGGTTGTGGTTAGCTTTCGTTTGGATTCCCCCAGAATCAGACCTTGCAACAAGGACTTGTCAGCCATCTGGGAGGGGATCCCAGGAAACACTGCTAAGGGAGTGGGGAACCGAGAGAGGCAAGTCATCCCATGGAGGGTTTTTGTGTTAAGTCAACTGGACTTTGAGTCCTTGGGTGAGGGCGAGGGGACTGAAGTATTCACAGACAAACTCCCATCAGTTACTGGGTAAGGGCCGCTCCCGGGCTGTGTTATTTCCCTGTTCCTCTAGCACGCCACGCACAGGCACACGGATGGCTCGGGGCCCAGGAGAACACACGGATGCTCGGGGGCCAGGAGAAGACCCTATGGAGATGCCGACGGGACAACAGGAGGTCAGGCCGCCAGGCGCTAGAGGGGTGAGATCAAGGTGAGAGACGAGAGATGTCGCAGCCGTCTGCTACAAGATGCTTCTACAGGTGAAAATAGGGGAAATAAGCACCAGGAAAACCTCATAATGTCAAGGAGAAAAAACACAGCAGTAGACACAGTGTGGGGCTGATTAAAACAGAGCTGCCTGACAAGCCGGGGGCTTCCGGGCCTTTCTCACAGTCTTGGTTTTTGGCTTTTGGCTACTTCTTTTTTAGTCCCTTGTTTATTCTTTCCCTGTCTCCCCTTTCCCCAGTTTGGGGGCCCCGAGAAAAAAGATTACCGCACGTGTTAATGATAAATTTAGCTTTGCTGGGAAGATGCCGTGAAGATTCGTTTTTATCTCACTAGAAATCTGACTGTTCTTCTATCTAACCAAAGGTGCCTTCTGGCTCAAAAATTCTGTAATTCTGGGGTAGATATTACGATTCTAATAACGATATGCCCAAGTGATTACAGCGTCTTGGAAGTTGCTATAAATGCCATAAAATATAGACTCCAAAAATTAAAAATCTGTACCAATTACATGTAAAGGCAGTTTATGCTTATTGATTCTAAAGACCTTTCCACTTGCTATGGGGCGGTTTCGTCATCTAGGGGAACCGCACGTTTTACAATCAGATCAATCAGATATAGATCCGCAATGGCAAACGTTCAAAGGTATTAGCAGTACTTTATTGAATATATTAATGGACAACTGGGTTAACAAGTTAAAAGGAAACAGCAGCATTTTCCTTGATAACTGTTCATCTTTGAGTATTTATCAACATAAAAGGCACCACTCCGTTTTCCAATTCTGTCAACCTGAATTAGAGTTAAAATATGTAACATTTCTTCATATTCAATCGTAAGACTCCCCCCTCTCAAAACAGCCAATCAAATGCAGTCATCTGTTTGCACATTGCCTGTGTCGGGGTGCACGCTGAGCCTTTTGCCTTCTCCCTCCTAAAACACTGAGAACAGAAGGCACGAGAAACAAATACTGAGCTTTGCTTCAAAAGCCCAAAACTCTCTATCAGAATTCCTTTATCTTCTTAGGGAGAAGTAAAGGGAAGAGGTATTTTTGTTTGGTTTGGTTTTGTTTTGTTGGTTTTTTTGTTGGGTGTGTTTTTGTTTTTGTTTTTGTTTTGTTTTGTTTATTTTGGTTTTCAGTTGTCTGGTCTGCAGATTGTCACTGGTGTGGTACAGCCTTTTCCTGAAGACGATTATGTGGCACAGTCCACGGTCCGCCCTGACTTCATCAGTTCTCGCTTCAGCTGTTCAAAGCACACAAACATAATGACGTTCCAGGATCCGAGTCGCAAGAAGGAAGGTACAAATCTAGAAAAGTGCAGGTCGTCATTGTCTGTTAGAATTCTTAAAGTTATTATTGCACCGACAGCTTATGTTTCCCGTTGCACCACTCTTCTCAAATAAAGGCACTTAGAGCCTATTCGTATGATATACGAACCTATTCTTATGCCTGTGATAATGTCTCATCTGGCTGTCTAATACTGCTTCAAAAACAAAATCCGGTGGCACCTGGGGGACTCAATGGTTGTCGGCTCAGGGCCCGACCCCGGGGTCCTGGGATCGAGTCCCACGTCGGGCTCCCTGCATGGAGCCTGCTGCTCCCTCTGCCTGTGTCTCTCTGCCTCTTTCTGTGTGTCTCTCATGAATAAATAAATAAAATGTTAAAAAAAAAAACCCAGATGATCACATCTACCCAAATACATAAACAGCCTGCTTTTCCAACAAACCAAAGCACATGTCCCTTTTGAAGGGGCATTTCCAAATACCTTTTTAGAAGAGCGGGGAAATTTTTGCTTTCTTTTGCTCTGCTTTCTGAATGGGAGGTAGGAGACCATTGAAAGAAGAAGAGGAGAAAGTGGACCAAATGGTTAACGGTTAATAACTGAGATCCCATTCTAAATTAATTTTATAATGTATTTCATTTGTGTTAATGTCTCATTAATGCTGATTATGATGAATTGAGAACCTTTTGTATAAAATGTATGGTGCATTTATGCTTATTTTGTAAAGTTTGAGGCATTGCCTTACGATTTTATTTTAGTTTATTTTATTTTTTTGCCTTACGATGTTAAAGGGTTATAGAGGTTGCTATGTTATCCTAGTTTAATCCTTATAGAGTATATATGTGAATTAATTCATTCTGCATTTTCTTAGGAAGGTAGTATCCAATAAATGACTGCTTAATGGAAAATGTGGTCTACTACACAATACTAGTTTTTTTTAAGATTTTATTTATTCATGAGAGAGAATAAATAAAATCTTTAAAAAAAAGGATACATGAATAAATAAATAAAATCTTTTTAAAAAAGGATACATGCACCCCTATGTTTATAGCAGCATTATTTACAATAGCCAAAATATGGAAGTAGCGCAAGTGTCCACTGATTGATGAAGATACACACTCACACACACACACACACACACACACACACACAAGAATGTATTATTCAGCCATAAAAAAAATGAAACCTTGCCAGTTGCAATGATGCAGATAGAGCTAGAGAGTATTTGCTAAATGAAGTAAGTCAAAGAAGACAAATACCATATGATTTGACTCATATGTGGAATTTAAGAAACAAACAAGCAAAGAAGAATAATAAGAGAGAAACAGACAGATCAAGAAACAGACTCTTAACTACAGAGAATAAACTGATGGTTACCAGAGGGGAGGGGAGTGGAAGGATGGGAGAAATGGGCGATGGGGATTAAGGACGGCACTTGTTGTGATGAGCACTGGGTGATATACGGAAGTGTGGAATCACTGTAGTGCACACCTGAAACTAATACAACACTAAAATCAACTAACTGGAATTAAAATAAAAACTTTAAAAAATTTTAATAGTGAAAAATCACATCTTGTTTTCTTGTAGCCCTCTATTATGCTTTCCCTTCCTTTTAGAGTTCCCTAGACCTGAGAAGGCAAAATGCTGTCCACATTCCCAATAGGTTGGGACCAAGCAAAAGGTCGCTGAATTTAAGTGAGTCTCTGATCAAGGTTGAGAAAATTTTAATATTACAGTTTCTGATTTTCTGGCCCAGTGGAATTGGTGAATTGGAGACGGTTAGGGCAAGAAAAAATAGACACTAAGTATACAGCATAGTCTAAGGCTGGTCAAACTACTCAGACAAGGCACACAGATACCCCAAAGATAGCATCATAGAGAGAGAAGACCATATCCTACCCTTTGAAAAAAGCCAATGGTCCTTCCTTGGTGAGCATTGTCATTGCACAGTTGGGCACACTTGTGTACTGTTCTGGTACAGAATTAACAAATCTGGTTTTTACCACATCCACCGGAGAGGAGAGAACGGTTGTGCAAAATCCAGCAACAAGAGCTGATAGGAAGTGGCAGGGTAGGTCATCTAAAACGGATCAATGAAACAGGTTAGCATCAGACTTTTGGAAGAAGCTTCTAGCTTTTATTTGTCTATTAGATCTTTGTAAACGTGATGATATCGGGAGACCAGTGTGGATGTCTTCTAAGCAAATAAAATACGGGGCACCCGGGAGGCTCAGTGGTTGAGCACCTGCCTTCGGCCCAGGGCGTGACCCCGGGTCCCGGGATCGAGTCCCACGTCGGGCTCCCTGCATGGAGCCTGCTTCTCCCTCTGCCTGTGTCTCTGCCTCTCTGTGTCTCTCATGGATAAATAAATAAAATCTTTAAAAATTAATTGATTAATTAATTAATTACAACAAGGAAGGTTCTACTTATTGTTACCAGAAAAGATGACAAACAGTACATGGCACAGTGGATTATGTTTTAAGAAAATAATCTGTCAGTCTTCTCTGTGCCCTTTGGGAATGGCATAATGCCTGATACATAGGCATCACAAATACTTTTTTATGGAATTAAAGTCATTGTCCAAGGAGCATTTCAATGTCTCGAGAACCTGTTAGAATATCTCAGGGACCTAACCAATGCTACTACTTTTCGGATGAAAACACTGCTGAGCTCCTTACACAACCAGCCCATTTGGATACAGTGTGGGATGGACTCACCCCCTGAGTCAGGCTGTATAAAGAATAACATGCTCATGAAAGTCCCATATATTAGTATTAAATGAGAATTATGCTGATGTAAGAATCACAGTTAAACTTTTTGTCGCAAAAAAAAAAATTTCGTTGCAGCCAAACTCCTAACACTTAATGTTGTGGGTTTGTTTTTTGTTTTTTGTTTTTTGTTTTTGCTTCAAAGTTGTATCTAGCACTCAAAATCACTTAATCTTTTAACTGTTACAATTCAGGGATTCAGTACAATGTGGCCAGAGAAGCTCCAAGATGAAATTGTAAACGTGCAGACCAACGGGTTTTCTATATATAATAATCGGACGTTACCTGCTAGTAGGTGGTTTTCCACAAGGGCCTCCTTCATTAGGTCATACGTGACTAGCTCCGTACAATTGATGATGACATTTCTCATCAGGTTGGGAGTAGTCCCTAGAAAAAAGAGAATGTTTAATAGCTCCATTATGTGATAAGGTGCTCACAGGGTGTACGTGTTTTAATAACGATAAACTTCACCTTGAAGTCAGTTACCTTTCCAAAGGCCCGTCAGGCCCTCCGTGGTGGCTATGATTCTGTAGGCATTGTAAGTGCCGGTGTACCGAGGTGTGCGGCCATGCAGATGGCTCTGTGCTTGAAGTCTCACCTTCACGACCTCAGTGGGTTGCCCTAGGAACACTGCTGCTCCTCCCGTCATTACACCAGCGGAGATCCTGCTTCCTAAACTAGCTGTTGCTACCCAGAGAGAAAAGATTTTTACCAAGCAAAAATGAAAAAAATATATCTGTAACAAGACCCAGGGTACAATTCTACGCCTTTTTAATTTTGGTGGTTCTATTTTTGTATGCTCATATCTTTTCTATTTCCCTAATGCTCGCGCGCGTGATGATCATGTACTAGGTATGCACGAAATCACTTTAGGGCTAGAAACTTCAAAGTTGATTAGAATGTTTTTAAACAGTAAAAACTTGCAAGGACAAAGAAAACACAATGCCTATCTAAACAGTGCTTAGTTCTTTCCTAGGTTTAGCTCTTTTTTTCAGTATTTTCCAGTTGGGACGAGGGACTCGTGGTCGCCAATGAGGCTTAGCCTTCCTCTCATCAATGGTAATGTTAATTATCAGACTTAGGGGTTTTAGGAGAATCCCAAGTGGACAAACTGCCTTCGTATGGGATGTCAAGCGGTATGAGGCTACAACAGGTTACAAAAGGAAGAAAAATTCCAAAAAAGAGTGAAGAAAGTGGTTTTCGATTTGAAAATCTGAAAAATGAGTTTAGGGTACTCAAGACAGATAATATTTAATAAACTATAAATAGTCTTGGAGCCTCCCTCCCCCTATCATATCAATAATTCCTATCATTAAAGTAGGGATCAAGAACATCTACTCATCAAGGACTTTCTCAGTCTGTCTGTTTCCGAATCTGCAAAATAGAGATAATATCGGGGATCCCTGGGTGGCGCAGCGGTTTGGCGCCTGCCTTTGGCCCAGGGCGCGATCCTGGAGACCCAGGATCGAGTCCCACGTCGGGCTCCCGGTGCATGGAGCCTGCTTCTCCCTCTGCCTGTGTCTCTGCCTCTCTGCCTCTCTCTCTCTGTGACTATCATAAATAAATAAATAAATAAATAAATAAAATAGAGATAATATCTATCTCATAGAGTCACTGTGTGAGTTAATATCAATAAAGCACTTAACGTACTGTCCTGCATCTGGAAAGTACAGAAATCCTTCTCCTGACCTTATGATCGTACGCTTTTCTCATCATGCTTGTCCAGGAGCTGAGCATACACCAGATCATCATCTTTTACTTGGCAAGGTCATGCTGACCACACCCTTCACCCTGGGCCCACATTTATGATCTTACTCCGATGCACTCCTCCTGGCCCCAGGCCCCTTCTCATTTCCCCCATCCCGCCCCTTGAGAGAGAGGCCATGCTTCCTGTCTTCACTTCTGATGCCCATTTCCTCCTCCATCCTGCACAATCCAGCTTCATCTCGGCTACCGCCCCTTGGATGTTCTTGCGGAGGAGACCCCCGGGCTCCTACTGTCAGGCACTTCAGTCACATTTCAGTCCTTTCCACCCTGGATCTCTCTGCTCTGTTGGGACCATCTCTGGATGGTTCCTCCTGTAGCTCCCTGCAGTCCGGCCCAGACATTTCTCCCAAGCTCATGTGTTGCCTGGACATTACTTGTTGACACATGTTCAAGTGAATTTCTTACCTTCCCCCCAAGCCGGTGTCCATATTCCCTCCCCCCACGACTGGTACCTTTAGAACCTCAGAGGCCATCTCCCCTTTCAGCCCCTCCCTTACACCTGCCAGTTGCCTAGCAAGTTCGGTGGTCAGGTGCCCTTCCTACATCTGATTTCTCTTCTCCTCCTCTACTGCCATTGCCTTAGCCTACCCTGATCGTTTTGCACTTTCTAACTTAACCTCCCTCTTGCCCTTTTTCTACGTATCCTCTAGATACTGCTGCCAAAGTAATCTTTCAAATATATGAAATGGCTCGTGCCACTTTCCTGCTTAACATTTTTCAATGACTTCCCATCACTGTAAGGACAAAATCTACACTTCTAAGCATTGTCTGCAAGGGACCTTGCGCTCTGGCTCCTTCCTGCCTGAAAGACCCGGAGTCTTTGTACGTGACCTTCACTCTGCTTGGGAGTGCTTCCCTCACTAGTCCACCTTATTACGCCTCCTGGTCCTTCAAGGTTCAAATCAGACACCAACTGCCCCCAAGACTAGATAAAACAGTCCTCTTTCATGTCCCAACATCCTGTAATTCTAACAGAGCATGAGTCATAGTCCGTGGTGATCTTATTAACCCGTTCGCAGCCCATAGCTCTTGCCGGGACAGACACCCCTGATCTATGCGTCTAACAGAGTCTCTGGCACACGGCAGCTCAAAAAATGCTGATGAAATGCACGGAATAGGCATAACGTAGAATATTGCCAAAATATGTCCTATTGATTTAGTACCTAAAGTGCCCGCTCAACAAGTGGTTAGAACAATCAGTTGTGAGGAAAACGACCAGAATGGGCAGCTGTACATCCTTAGTGAGTCTTCTCATGCTACATCTACAAATAGGACAATTCGATCGATATTGAGCGGTATTGATCTCAAAACATCTAGACTTTACTTTGAAACTATTTGTGTAAAAACTCAAGGTAATGTTTGTATAACTAATACTTATAACTTGCCCCATAAAGTCATGTTATCCTAAGGTCACTTAAAAAAATAATAATAAGGGCAGACTGCCACAGACAGCACCTCATTTGGATGTGTCTGGAGCCTGGAAGGTTGGCTCCCTACATTCTCCTACAAGTGGGCCTCAGGAGCTTGTCCGCAGCTTCTAGCAGGGGGTGCAGCTACTTGTATACCCTGGGCCAGAGAATGGTCCTCCTCTCTCGGGGAAGGCCACCGCCCCTGACAGAGCGTGCAGCTTTGGGATGGACACACACGGAGCGGTGCGGGAGGAAGGGGACACCCATCTAGGCGGCCACATCAGTCAGAGCAACCCTGGCAACCAATGGGGTGACCCATGTCGCAGCCAGATCACCTTCACATCCACTCTAAGGTCACTTCAAGCAGAAATGATGGAATATGCCCAGGTAGTCACTTAACATAGTCGTTTTGTCATTGCCTGTCTTCTCTCTGGATTGTCTGCTCTTTGCTGGGTGGGTGGTCTTGAGGTTACTTGACTTTTCTCATCATTTCCCTACCTGCCTCTGGGGCTAACACTTCGTATCTCACAAAGTGACTGAACGACGCACGGAATCGCACGCACACTGCGGGGCCCAGGCCACGGCTCTGGTTAGGAGACCGAGGTTAGCTGCCGGACCGCCTGGGTTTGAGCTGGTGCTCTGCCCCTTTCCAACTGTGTGAGCTTGGGCAAGTCCTAAAAAATCAAAAAAAAAAAAAAAAAGCTGCGCCTCAGTTTCCCCCATTTGTTAAAAGATACAGATAATAGCATCTTTCCAGGGGTGATGGATCTGAAGCTCTTAGAATAGCATCCAGGACATAAGAGGCCCTCAAGTGCCCACTAAACGGACAGGAATTCTGGGTACGCCACGCACCCTAGAACTACTAGCTTTCTTTGAGGTTTCTTTTCTTTCTTTCTTTCTTTTTTTATGATAGTCAGAGAGAGAGGCAGAGAGGCAGAGACACAGGCAGAGGGAGAAGCAGGCTCCATGCACCGGGAGCCCGACGTGGGACTCGATCCCGGGTCTCCAGGATCACGCCCTGGGCCAAAGGCAGGCGCCAAACCGCTGCGCCACCCAGGGATCCCCAACTACTAGCTTTCTTTTCTTGGATTTGTGGCATGCTGGGCAGATGCTCCTGGGAGACTGTGCTGCTCGGGGAGCTCGGGTCAAACACTGTTTTGCAGCCCCCCCCTCCCCCTTCTCCAGGTGTCCAAACTGGGCCTCAAACTCTCCACGACTCCCCGGGCGACGGCTGCACGCACAGATCTGCCCCCAGAGGTGGATGTGGCTGGCGCCCCCTTCCAGTGGGAGCAGTGGGTGCCGAGCTGGGGTGGGCAGCCGTCTGGCCAGCGCCCCAAGGCCCCGCTCACCTCCCTGGCCCGGGCTGAGCCAGTCCCGGACGCCGTCGTAGAGGCCGATGCGGAGGGACGCGAAGCCCACCTGCCTCTGGAGGCCCGCGGGCAGCCCGCTGTACAGCTTCTGCAGCCCCTCGGTCCTCGCCAGGGTGGCCACCGTGCCCAGGGCGCCGCGGTACCTGGGGGCCCGGGGGGGCCGGCCCTGGCCTTCCCCTTGGACCTGGAGAGGAGAGGCGCGGGTCAGCGGCCCGGGACGGCGCCAAGGGCGGGGGGGGGGCGGGGGGGGGCGCTGCCCCCGCCAAGCCCCAGGCCGGGGCTTCTGCCCCCTGGGCTCCTCCTTGCAGGCCCGCCCGGCCGCGTCTCCTCCCTCCCGAAGCCCCGTGGCTGCCGTCGGCGGCCGCCCTGCTCGGCTCGCACAGGTGGCGGCGGGCGCCGGCCTCTCGGCTCTCCCCGGCTCCGAGGCGCCGGCCCCCCCGCGCGTCCCGGAGGCACCGGCTCCCTCCCCCCGCCCCCGCGTCCAGGCGCTGCGGGCCCCGCCCTGGGCGCCCCCGCCGAGCGCGCAGCAAGCCCGGGCCGCCGAGGCCGCGCTACCTGCAGCCGCACTTTGGCGGTGTCGAGCGGGAAGGTGAGCAGGTCCGCCAGGCAGGCCGCCCCCGCCGCCGCGGCCATCCGGACGCTCAGGGTCGGGGGCGCGTCGGGGTCCGGGGCCCGCGGCATCTCCGCCCGCCGCGCCGCGCCCGAGCACCCAGCACCCGGACGGGACCCGGCTGGCGGCCGCGCTTAAGAGGCGGCGGCTCGGGGCGGCCCCGGGGGAGGGGCCCTGGGGGGGCTGGAGGGGGGGAGGGGGAGGGGGAGGGAGCCGGCGGGGGGGGGGCCCTGGGGGGGCTGGAGGGGGGGAGGGGGAGGGGGAGGGAGCCGGCGGGGGGGGGACCTGGGGGGATGGAGGGGGAGGGAGCCCGGGAGGGCCCTGGGGGGGCTGGAGGGGGAGGGGGAGGGAGCCGACGGGGGGGACCTGGCCGGGGTGGGTGGGGGTCGCCCTGACGCCGGGCCCTGCCCCCGCACCCCGCGGCCGCGCCCCGGGCCGCACGGGGAGCCCCCTCCCCCCTCCCACCGCGGCGACCTTGGCCGGGTGCAAGGTCCCTCCCGGTGCGGCCCGTCCCGTCGGGTGCCCCCCCCCCCCCGCCGTGTCCGGGGGCTGATGGCGGCGGGAGGCCCGGGCGGAGCCCCAGCGCCCAGAGCGGGAGGAGCTGCGGCCCGTGGGCAGGTGGTGGGAGGCGGAGGGCGGTGACCGCGCCTGGCTTCCAGGGGGGCCTCGGGGCGGCCGTGCTGACCCCCCCCCCCCCCGCCGTCGCTCCCCTGCCCGGGACACCCAGGTGTGAAACCCGCGCCGCCTTGGGGGGTGAACGCCGCCCGCCGCGGGGGGGCCTGGTTTCCCCTTTGGGTTCCAGAACAGGGGGCAGGGGATACAGAACCGTTTGACAACAGTCCCCGAAGGCCCGGCAGAGCGGGAGGTGCCTGTGCAGCCCGGCAAGAGGCCGCCCCGCGCCCGGGCCACGAGGGCCACAGACCAAGGGCCCTGGTAAGCAGGAGAAGGAGGGGACAGCAGGTTCCCTCCCCTGCAAACACCTGCTGAATTAAGGAGCACTTGAGCCGGAGAGGCCCGCAGGAAGGCAGAGACGGGGGCAGCGGGGCGAGTGCATGGGGGTGCGCCCCGTGGGCCTGCCCGGGAAACTGGGTGCCGGGAAAGGACCGAGGCGGGGTAACAAGCTGGAGAAGGCTGCACCTCGGAGCCAAATGAGGCCACTGGACGGGCTGAGCCTGAAGGTCCCACCAGGATGTGGGTTCAGTGGTGGTACCGCTGCACACGGGCACAGCCCCCCCCCCCCCCCGGGGCTGTAAATGTGACACAGACGAGTCGCGGTTAACGGGTGGACAGCACAGCCTTGGTGGACACGGAGCGTTCTCAGGGACAGCACAAAGTCTGAGAACCGGGGCAGTAGGCTCAGGGGGCAGAGGTGACTCCGCGGCCCCAAGGCCAGATCAGCTCTCAGAGCTTGAAATTCTTTGAGGAAAGGGGATCATAAGTGGGAGCCACCACTCCCCAGTAGCTGGTAGGGTACCAGCTACCCTTTCAGATGGGACGAAAGAGGGACAGGAACCAGGGGGCCAGGACGTGGGGGACCCAGGTCATGGTCTGTGAGGAACGGCCTGGTCAGAGGTGAACCCAGGGGCGTGTGTCATCCCCGAGCAGCAGCAATGGACACTGCCTTAAGGAAGCGTGGGGTCTTGACTCGTAGGAAGCTTAGAGGAAATGGCAAGAGAGGGCAGGAATAGGGGAAAGCCTGTAGGGTCTGGCTCCAGCGTTCTCCGTCCTCCCAGGGAGCACACTGTGTGGGGGCATTAGGTTGCGCCAATGGCTAAGCAGAGATTGAGAACATCCGGCATAGTGCGACCCAACGTCGAGGATGGGGCCACCTGTGGTCCCCAAGCACAACCCGGCCCTAATCGGCCTCGGTGGCCGTGCTCCATCCGTGTTGGTGCCCAGCACTATGGCCTCCACCCCTACCCTGCACCTGGATGGCCTTGGGCACACGTTGGCCAGCACAGCAAGGCCGTGCGACGCTCTGTGGCTTCCCAAGCCACACGGCAACTGTCATTCCCGCGCCGGTCTCCGTCACTCAGGCCTCATGGGCCACCAGGTAGGTGCAGCCCCTCCGAGGCTGCCGACCCGGAGAGGCCCCACGGAAGGTGCCAGACCCGATTCTGCAGACAAGCCCCCCTGCCCTCTCTGTCCGCGTGGGTCCCTCAGAAGAGTCGTGCAGCCAGGAGCACTTCTGACCCGCGAAATAGCGAGATTCAAGGCAACGGCGGCTGCTTTAAGTGGGAACAGCTCCTGCACTTTTTTTGAGAACTCTGGGGTGCATGCATGCTCTGCACCCTTTCTTCCAAGACCAGCTCCCTGAGGAAGAGTTGGGGGCAGCGAGTGGGTAGAGACTTTCTAGATGGGGGCCGCACACTTCGGATTTGGACTGTGACAGCAGGTTCCTGGAGGAGGCGCCGGGTGAGCTGAAGTCCTTTTGCTTCTCGGAGGCGCACGTTCCCATGTGTCCAAGGGGGACGTGACCAGCTGGAGCAGCGGGTGAAACGGAAGCCACTAGAAGGGAAGAATGGATGTGGAAAGGATCCATTAGAAACAGGAAAGATTGGGGCGCCCGGGGGCTCGGGGGTTGGGCATCTGCCTTGGCTCAGGCCGTGACCCCGGGGTCCCGGGATCGAGTCCTGCGTCGGGCTCCCTGCACGGAGCCTGCTTCTCCCTCTGCCTGTGTCTTGGCCTCTCTCTCTCTCTCTGTGGCTCTCATGGATAAATAAAATCTTAAAAAAAAATAAAAAAGAAATAGGAGAGCCTCCGGTAGGTGAGAACAGGTAGAGAGAGGGGGCCCGTGGCGGGATGAAGAGGCTGACTTATCTGAGACCACAAGGAAGGATGACAGCCGAGCCCTTGGGGTTTCAGCAGACGTGGCCAGGGAGTGACCCCTGCAAGACACAGCGTCGGGTTAGTTCGACGGCCACTGGGTACCCGAGACGTCCAGGCATGAGGCCAATCCCGAGGGTCAAAGAAGCAGCAGACGTGAACATCCTCCCGTGCGGAGACCCCCTCCCCCCAGAGGAGGGTCACAGGAGCTCAAGATGCTGAAAACGGTTCTGGATTCCAAGAAGCCGACGACCTCAGCCCTTGTGAGAGGCCCGAGGAAGTAGGAGAAAGGTTGTGCCAGGTTGGCGGGAGCAGTAGGGTAGAGGGTGGCGGCCCCAGAGGGCCAGACCGCTCTTCTGGCCCAGAGAAGCCAAGGTAAAGGAGAGGTCATAGGAGCAGGGGTAACAGACCTTCCATGACGTAGGTAAGGAGTGGCCACAGGTCCCCCCTGCACTAAAGTCCTGTTTCCTCTTTGAAAATGTAGCGCGACACTTACGGCTGTACTTGCCCAAACCGTGGTCAGGGGTCACTGAACCAGATGTCTCCATCCTAAAGGAAAAAGGATGATGTTGTGCATTTGAATAGTGTCCTACCCTTTCCCCTAATGCTCTCCTTCATCCCCAGCAGGAAATACCGCCGTGTAGTTGTGTAGGTGACCTGACCGTGCAAATGACAGAGAAGACCATTTATAAAAGGAGAAAGACGAATGTTAAAAATAGAGGGCGTATATTCAATGCCATTAGTAAAGTAATGTGCGGTTTTCACCTAATTAATACCTCATCTCCACCAAAATTATAATAACATTTACACACACATTTTAGTATTATAAACTTAATTTACAAATATACATAAATAATGACTTTTATTTTTTTATTTTGAATTTTTAAAAGATTTTATTTATTTATTCATGAGAGACACAGAGTGAGGCGCAGAGACACAGGCAGAGGGAGAAGCAGGCTCCTTGCAGGGAGCCCGATGCAGGACTCGAACCCGGGACTCAGGGGTCACGCCCTGGGCTGAAGGCAGATGCTCAACCGCTGAGCCACCCGGGTGCCCTAATGACAGTTTTAATGGCAGCCTGAGCTGTGCTCGCTTTGCACGGAGTCTGCCGGGTGACGTGCAAGGGGCCGGTGGCAGAGGGTGCCCGACGTCCCCCACGGCCCAGTGCCCGGGGTGCTGGACCGGGGAGCGACATGAGGTCAAACGCCTGGGGCGCGTGCACCGGGTAGCGGGTGCAAATCCGACCGTGTGCGTGGCATCCCCAGCACTTCGCTCTCCTGCACCCAACCCCTGGGATCCCGAACGGGACGGATTTTAAAGGGTGAATTGCACAGATCAGAAAGTACAGCTTCCCCCGCGTCAGTGCCCGCGCCCCCTGGATCGGCCCCTGCTGGCTCTCCGGGCAGCGGCCCTCGGCCGGAGTCCACGTGCAGCCCCCCTCTTGGCGTCCAGCCCCCTCAGGGGCCTCCTGGGCGGCTCCCTGTCTGCTAGCTCTCCTGGTCAGCGTCGCCTGGTGCACCGGGAGGGGGTTGGCAATGGGGCACATCTAGTCATTGGGTGGAGCCGCTCTGCCTGTCTCACCATTCTACTTGTTCACGCAACGCATGCGATGCTACGTGCACTTATTGAGCACCCACTGCATGCACCATGCATGTGCCTGAGGGGACAGACACCTTGGCACACGATCACCATATCATACGCCCAGTGCAGTGTTAGAGGTGCACCCACGTGCTTGGAGAGTAGAGGAGGGCATCTGACCCCCACTGGGGGCATCTGGGAGGCTTCCCGAAGAGGCTGCAGACGGGCTCCAAGTCTTGAAGAGTGAGTGGAAATTCCCCGGGCAGGACGCGTAGACAGCAAGGTCAGGCCAGGCAGATGAGGCAGCACAGCAACGCGCGGAGCCAAGGAACAGCATCGTAGGGTCGGATAAATACAAGCTTATTGGTCTTTCTGGACCATTAAAAGGCAAGCTGGGGCAAAGCAAGGGACGGCGAGCCCGGGGAGGCGGGGCACACCTGGAGCCTTTGATCTCCAATTAACCAGGAGGTTTTAAACATGCAAGTGACAAAGTTAGTTTTATGTTTCAGACAGATTTATGTGGCTTTGGGGTGAAAGCCTTGAGGACTGTGAGGAAGACTCTGCTCCACGCCCCTCCCCTACCTCCTGGGGGTTTGCTGCCGATTGCTGGACGTAGAAGCACCATCCTGATCTCCGCCTTCACCTCTACGTGATGTTCTGCTTGCGTGTGTGTGTGTGTGTGTGTGTGTGTGTGTGTGTGTGTCTGGGTCTG